TATTATCAGCGTTTTGTTATTTTTAATGCTAATGCACGGTGGTAAAAAATATTACTCCTAGCTCTAGTACAGCAGGTGCCCCTACTTTGATGTGCACTAAGGCATGAGAAGAGTTACCAACAATTGCTTTTGTACCCTCAGTACAAATGTCAATGCAAGAGAAATGGAAGCATCTTCCTAACAACATTACCTCACAGACCCCAGTGAGGGCCTTGGGTATGCCCAGAAGTCTATAGTCCACACTCTGAGAAGCTCTGTTTTAAGTCTTTAATTGTACTAAATTCTCCCTTTTCTTTAAAATCAATAAAAATCATTGTTGCATACACTTCTCAACCTATTAACTGATCTCTCATCTTCCCTTATCTACTCAAAGCCTTGGGGTAAAAAGGCAATGGTCTATACCCACCAATTCCATTTCCCTTTCACCTACCCACAACTCAAATTCATTCACCTTCACTAGCCTCCTGAAACAGCCCTGCTAGGCACAGTAATATTTACTTTTTAAAAGGCTGATCTCCCCTTTTGATTTCCCTGTAATTTTTGACCTTGCAAATATTCTGTCCTCCAAGGAGGAAAGTGGCAATTTTCACACTCTCAGAGAGGAAATCCATAGTTTCCAGGATTATTGTATGGTCTTGTGGGTTCTTCTACGCTTTTGCTGGCATTTTTCCCACCTAATTCACAGCTCACGAATCCTCACTTCTCTTCTCCTAACCACCTCTTCCCTAGTCTAACGCACCTCTCATTTCACCACATTCCCTCCAAACAAAAGGGTCCCCAGCTCAAACCCAGAATTCTTGAGATGCAGCTTGATTTTTCAACTGTTCAGTGGGCACTTGTGCCTAGATGTACCACTAGCATCTCAAACTCGATGTACTAGAAACTGAACTCAAACCAAAACAGATGGTTCCCTCTCTTTCAGTGTCCTCCTAACGTCATCTCAAAGCCTTCCGGCTTCCAGGGCCACGTAATTTCTCAAGAATCTGCCTATTCATCACCTCTTCCTTCCTGATCCTGTTCTAACTGGAGACCTTATTCTGTCTTATCTAACTACTGAAATCCCTTCTTAACCATCTCCCTGACCCTAGTCTCCTGCCCCACTGCTTCCTATACTTTGTTGTCAGGTAAATCTTAAGGTAATCAAGTCCTTCCCAGCTCAGCTCCTCCACTTGGAGTAGCTCCTCCAAGCTGCACTAAGGCATGAGAAGCTGGATTAGCCCAACACTACTCCCACTTATATGATAATTGCTCTGCGTATACAGGTGGTTAATCCCCACCTGGACTCTAAGGCTCCGTGACGAGAAAACCTATGCCTGATAACCCATCTAAAATAGCATCCAACACAGTGTTTTTCATAGCATCAGAATTAATATTTAAGGAAATGCAGAATGAATGGATATTCTACCCCTAGCCTATCTCCCACAACACACACACCAGGTACATCCCTCTTCTTTGAGTTCATTTAACCAAAGCCTTACTCAACTATTAGTCAAGCAGCTTATCACCATTCTAAGAAGCTGAACATCTGAAATAATAAAAAATCCAAGGTGTCAGTATTTGCTTAAACATATCTTAAAAAAGACACTCCTCCCAAGATAGGGTTGCATGTAATTATTCTGTTTCATGTGTGTTGGTTTTACTTGCTAACTTGACTGCCAGAAAAAAAGTTTCATCATATTTTGAGATTGATCTTCACCAAGCAATGACTCATTAAACTAAAACTTTCTCACCCCTCCCCATCGAAGCTTGCTCAAGTAGTTAATGACAGATGGAAGCAAATCTGAACAGATTACGGTTGCCCCTAATTCAAAGAAATATAGCTGCAAATCCTATTATAATTTAGTAATCCTCTCTAATTTATCTATTGTTTTTAAAATTTTTTCCTTAAGGCAGACGTACTTTCTTGGGGGAATGACATTCTCCTCCTAAATAATATGTTGGTTTAACAACAGGAAGCTTATTTGGGAAAAACATATTCTATATGACACACAGGTTATTAGAACCATTTGACAGGAAAAAGGGGATTGTATTTTCTTTGAAGAGCTCATTAAGTCCTTTTCCCCCCAAAGTAGTAAACGCTGCTTTTCCTAAATATTTTAGAATATTGAATAAAGTAGAATATGTTTCTCTAAAGATGTTTCCAGGTGAATGTAAACTTCAACAGATTTTTTGTATATAATAAAAATATTTATCTGCCCATATCATACAACCCACTTTCCAGATGGCTAAAATATGTAAATTCACATAATTACTTATAAATTAACGAAAGTGCTCATTGGTTTTGTTTTACTTTTATTTAAAGTTCAAATAGCTAAGAATCATAAATTTATGGGGCTAAACCACAAAATGAGGCAGCTTAGTCTGGGAAGGGTATTTCAAATATCTAGGAGTAACTCGATATTTCATGAGCCTATGGGAAATTTCGAAAGCATTTCACAAAGAGCTGTTTTCAATACTCTGTTTGGTGAATTCTGAAATGCTGTCATTGACAGCATCCAGAAAGGCATCTTAGAGATTTAAAAAAATGCCCAAAGAAAATATGAAAAGCATAAGACCAAATTTTAAGTTAAAACTTTAGTGAAGATGCTTGATAATCAACCTAGGAAGCAGGGTTTGTCTACTGTACATTAGTACGTGGTTGGGTCAATACTCAAACTCAATTAGTTTTAGTTTGCTCCAGCCTCTCCTTTTAGGTTCATTGACCTGGACATAAAATTTACACTTTAATATGGCAGATTTAATTAACCCTATTGAAATGTAAAAGACTCCATGGGGATTACAAAACACACCATCCTTTACTAATTGTCAAGTGGAAGTGTGAAGTGACCACTTTCTCATGAACCAACAGATAATTGTGAGGGCTTCCACCAACACCATGGCTAGCCACACAAGACCATATGCTTACAAACATGAACCATATCTATTTCCCTTCTCTTGAACTTGAACACTTAAAAAAGGGAAAATGTACTGTATGTCTTTAATTCTAGACCAAACTTCTGGAAACTTCTGATCTGTATTCACAGCCCAGGTATGTCATAATTTTAGTCCCCTTGCAGAAAGACAATCTTGAATCTGAGTACACGTGCAAATTGCAGGCTATTCCAGCAACATCAATCTTTACACTTGAATTAGTTCACCTGGTAGCCAATGAAGAGAAGGCCTCCCTCAAGAAAGAGAGCCCTCTGCCCTGGGCAAGAGGAGAAAAGTTCACAGTAGGAATTCTTTTTAACCTCTTTTCTTTGCCCAACACAAATCCTAAATTTCTCCCCCATTCTTACCCAGAGGAAGTCCTAAATTCTACACAGCACCTCAGTGATATTCCCCACAAGGGAGAAAGGTTACACCAAGGAGTCCAGGCCAGCCAAAACACGAAGGGCATAAATAACCAGACTTCAAAGGCTTTGGAGGGTGGAGATGGAAGTAAAGGGTGGTTTATTCTGAAATGGGTGAACACTTTGGTAGATCCGATTATTGACATTCACTTCAGAGGACCAGGTTTTTATTTTCCTTTCAAAAGCTAGAATAGAAATGAGAGAACAGATCAGAAAATGGACACCCTACCCTGCACACATGAATTCACAACCAAGAGCGTCTTCATGTTTGTAGAATGGCCATCCTAACCAGACACCACTGGGGACTCTCTGCTCTTCACCACCACTCATACCTAGTGCCCTGCCCCTCCTCAGTGCAAATCTTAGTGTGAACCTCATATCCAAACCAAACAGCTAGGTGCCTGCACAGAAGGGAAAGGATACAATTTCTCACACTAAGACACAGGCAACAGCACCCCTTCCCTGCCCAGAACACCCAGCTCCTGGCACCATCTCTTCTCCCACCCATTCCAAACTCCTCTTACTGATGTTTATCTTCTGCCAATTGCTCTTCTTAGCTCATTTTCAGGTTTATTTTCACCACCACCCTACTCCATTTTCCTAACATGTCCTACTTTGTACCACTCCACACTACATATCAGCAGAAATACAAACTGCAGACACAGAGGTTAGAACATAAAGGAGCTGTACACCTGTGACTACCCACAATTAGGGAGAGGAGGATGCCAGGTATTCCAAAGGGGAAATACAGATGAGTTTTCTCTTTCAGCATTACTACATATACTTGTAACATCGCTTCTCGGTCCTTTGGCTAAGATCAAGTGCATAAACTTGTAACTACATTGAAGTTAAAATGGGCTCTACTACATAGGCCAGGATTCCTAACCACATATTTCTGCAGGAAAATGGGATATAAGCCCAAAACATACAAACTAGAGACTATGGAGTTGTGTGTTGAGGACTCCCTGCCACCCAAGAAAGGAACAAATGGTAAATTCCCAAACTGATTTAAAAAATGAACAACTATTAATACATCTCTGAAATACTATAGTTCGTAATGTCTATTACACTTAGTCCCAGATAGAGAAAAATATATATACACAATATCCTTACTAAAAAATTTCAATTCATTTAGACTTTTTTGTTGTTGTTAATTCAACATTCTAAAGAAAGATTTTAGATGTTGAAAAAAACAAGAAAAATTTTGGATGTTAAAAAACAAAAAAGTGATCAAAAGCTAACAAACGCTTTTAAGAAAGTTAGTTATCAGGAGCTTATACGGTTAAAGTGTCAGCTTTTCAGTCAAAGCCTGCTGAATAGTCTAAAACGAGGGAGTACCGAAAAGCAAAACAGAAAGAGTGCTGGAACAGTCTACTGGCTGGTTTTCCTTATCTCCCCATGCCGGAGAGGTCAAAATTGAGAGGAAATAAGACTCAACCCTTAAACAATGCATATGCACCCACTCAACTAGTCCTCCACGGTGTATATAATTCCAAGAATCTACATTAGCTAATCAGATCTCGGTAAGTGGCCGAGGGGGAAAAAAACCTCCCAAATACATTCAGTTTGGCAAAGCATTCCTACAAGAGGCACTCAAGTTTCACTCAGAAATGGAATGTCATTATGTAAAATCTTGGGGGGGGGGGATCATTGAAAACATATTCTTACCATTCTCATTGGGCTCTGCTGCCTTGGACACTTCTCTGAACGGGATTATAACTCCGTCTCCAGGCACTCTGGGGCTTTCCACATACTTGGGCTTCCTGACGGGACCTGCAGTGGAAAAGATCCGAGTGTGGCTAATTTTTTCCAGACGCAAACAAAGCTTCGGAATGTACAGCGTGTGTCCTCCCCAGGACCCAAATATGCCTGAAGGAGGAGCCGGCCCCTTCTCCTCCCTTGAGCACACGCACGCTCATTTCAGTACAGACGCGGGAACATCCGGCCTGGGGCTGCCAAAGGAGAAGGGGCAGTAAGCTCCGTTGCAAGAACATAAGCTCGGACCCAAACCAAAGCGGCTCCTTTGCCGTGCGGTCTCTACGGCTGCCTTTGGTATCCGTCAATAAGTGATCCCGACATGTTCAAACCTGGGCAGCTTTTGGCAAAGGGTTTTTTTTTTTTTTTTATTTGGAATTGGTCTGTAACTGGGACAAAGACGATCGGGTTGCTGGGTATCTCCAGAGTCAGGAGGCAAGGATCACAAACAGCCAGGGTCACAAACAAACTCGGAGCGCCACAAAGCGCCTGCACGTTATCACACTGTGACACACGGCAATTGTGTGGGGCGCAGAGGCGGTGGCTTCCTTGGCACCCGACCGGGCCGCCTTCAGGGAGGCCTGCAGCCAGGCCAGCACGCGAACCAGGGATACAGGAGAGGCCGTCAGTCCCATTTCTCACCTTCCCCTCAGCCTCAACTAAGAAAATCTGGAATCCTTAGCTTAGGAAGACGGAACAGACTCCGCACGGTGCTGGTGGCCACGCACAGGTGCAGCCACCGTGGAAAAGAGCTTGGCCATTCCTCAAAACGTTAAACACACAGTTAGTACGTGGCCCAGCGGTTCCACTTGTGTACTCACACATGCTCACACAGAGGTCCGTACACCCGTGCTCGTGGGAGCACCATCAATAGCCCCACGTCCATCAATTGAAGACAATAAAATGTGACAAATCCACACAGTGCAAGAGTACTGGGCAATAAGAAGGAATGGGGTACCGATTCATGCTACAATAGGATGAAACCTGAAAACATCACTAAGTGAAGGAAGCCAGTGCCCCCAGACCACGTATTACAGGAGTCCATACACACGGGATATCCAGACTAGGCAAATTTATAGAAACAAAGAATGAATGGTTGCCAGGGGCTGAGGGATATGCGGGCTAAGGAGGTGACAGCGCAAAGGGGTATGAGACTTCCTTCTGGAGTGATTAAAATGTCCTGAAATTAGTGGTGATGGCTGCACAACCTTGGGAATATACTAGAAACTGCTCTAGTGTATACTTTAAACGAGTGGATTATATGATATGTGAATTATATCTAAATGAAGCTGCCTAAAAAAAAAAGACCGCTTATTTTGTCTGTTCCTTTCAAACATCACATTACATTTGGCCCAGAATCACCCACGTGACTTTCATTTTCCTTGGTTGCCTTATACTTAGGAGTGTGTTTTTGTTTTTGTTTTTGTTTTTAATCTATTTATGATAGTCACAGAGAGAGAGAAAGAGAGGCAGAGACATAGGCAGAGGGAGAAGCAGGCTCCATGCACCGGGAGCCCAACATGGGATTCGATCCCGGGTCTCCAGGATCGTGCCCTGGGCCAAAGGCAGGCGCTAAACCGCTGCTGCCACCCAGGGATCCCCAGGAGTGTGTTTTTAACAAGGCCACAGAGACAGGCAACAGTTCACACCAGTGAGGGAGAAGCCGGTGGACAGACGGTGGACAGAGTGGCAGACAGAGGTCCACACCCCCCTCCCGCCCAGCCCTGACCCTCTGGGCCCCATCACCACACCCTGAAGTGCTGAGTCAGGTGGATCCTGAGCATCCTTCTGCATCAAACATCCTATGGTCTAAGGAGTGCTATTCAGATTGAGGTTTGTGGGGACAGATGCTGCCATCTAAAGGCTTATTGCAAAAGCATCTACATTAGTATAAAATTATCCAATTCCCAGCTGCCTACAATGCACTACACATTAAAACAGACGCATTATCAAGGAAGTATACAGTACTTGACAAATAGGGATATTATTTCAGACTTCAGAAATCGTGATTTTCAAATAGCTAACAGTATGTAATCACATGGCTGCCTCCATAATTTATTTAGCTCTGTTAGAAAGGGGATTTTTTTCAAAGGTTAAACTGGAATGGCTATAGGGGAAGAGGGAGGACACGTTCACAATATGAACTGAAGACGTAGGCTACAGAGCAGAATACAAAGCATTATTCAGATTTTATCTAAAACATACACATATCCCTATATAAATAGGCATGGAAAGACAATGGGGGGAGAAGGGGAAGTGGGAAACTAACATATTTACTATGGAGGAGCCAGAAACTAGGAAGAAGAGCTCTAACAGGGCAGGAAACAGGACCAAGTAGGAGAACCTTTCCATACTTTTAGTTCCTGACCTATTCTCTACAGTGAAAGAGATCACAGGCATCTTTTCCCCCTACCATCTGCTCTCTTCCATTTAAAGGACTCAGGGGACGTGAAGCCCTGTGTTATTACTGTCTCATGATTCAAACTGCCCCAACCAGCAATGATGCCACCACTCTAGAGACACCTGTGAGTCTCTGCTCACCTTAACTCTTCAGTGTATAGTAACAGCAAATCTAAGCAGCAGATCTATTTACAGGCTTCAATCTACCTACCCCATATAGCCTTCAAAAATATTCTCCAAAAGTAAGTACTTTCTTAAAATGGATGTACAATGGTTTTTGTGAATGTTTGCAACATTGAATCCCAATGTCACCCAGAGCCTTCAAAAAGCACCTATGCCCGTCCATGTAATGGTCTTAGGACTGTGTTCTGTTCAGAGGCCAACTGCTAACCATAAGAAATACTCAGCACTGCAGAGTATTAGGAGCAGGGCCTCTGGAATCAGTCAGACCTACCTAGGTTCAAATATGGTCCCCAGCCTCCCCAACTCGGGCCTCAGTAATATCCCACAGCTAAATGATGAACAAGTAAGCCTCTTGTTCCAAGGGGAACATCCATGAAAGCAGAGACCAGATGGATCTGGTTGCCAGGATCAGCACAATGCCTGGCACAGTAAACACTGATGCAGTTTGAAACACTGCAAGAAATACCAAAATGTGACACAAAGACACGAAGTGAGCAAATGCAGCTGAAAAAATGGTACCAGTAGACTTGCTGGACACCGGGTTGCCACAAATCTTCAACTTGCAAAAGTGCAACATCTGTAAAGTGCAATACAGCAAAGTGCAATAAAACAAGGTATGCCTGTATAAACAACTGCTCTCCAACATGATCCTTTTATTTAAATTGCTTTCCACAAACAGCTGAACCTCAAATGCTATAAAACAAGAAAAATTTACAACTATAGAGGTTTTGTTCCTTCCTCCTCTCAATTGCTCATTAGAGAATCTTTGCACACTTTCCATTAAACATAGCAGATGAACACTCGTTTGCCTTTACTCCTTTTCAAAACATCATTAAAGTTGCAGTAAAGGGATTTGAGAGAGACTGATGGGGAAAGAAGACCACCACAGGCAAGAAACCAAACTTCTGAAAGTGAGAAACAGCTTGCCAAGGAGCAGTGAACTGAGAGGGCTGAAAAAGTTTAGCACTGGGGTCGAGGGTGGGAGATGGCTCAGCCTCAGAGATAGGAGGCACCTCTGAAGGCAGGGGCATGGATGGGGCCACACAGGATCAGTCAGGGCTTGAGAATCTATTTAAGAGAGAGTCAGACCCTCGGAACCAGGAAGCATTCCCTCTCTCATCCTGGAGGCTGCATCTTTCTCTGGAAGGTCTAAATGCCAAGACCATAGAGACTCAAGAGCTAAACTAAAAAACCGGGATTAACAAAAATTCCACATGCAGATTGGCAGGCCCCAGATGCACCTCCATCCTGAGCTGTGAGATCAGGGGCAGCGAGCTCGCACACCACGGCAGAAATGCATTGGAGGAGTCCTCTCTGGGGAAAGTCACCAGGAGAAAAGACCTGTAAGTAACCAGTTGGGGACGTGCCCTGAAAGAAACGGCAGGTCCCTGACCAGTCGTGGTACCACAGAGCCCATCCCCAACATGCACCCAGGACTGTCCATCAGCTTCTTTGCTCTTCAGATACAAACTAGGATCAGACAGTCGAGCCAGACCCTCCCCTGAACCTTAGCAACTGAAACAAGAACGGAACTCTGAGGAGCCAGAGAAAACAGGAGGCACACGCTCCAGAATGAGAAGCGTTATTGCTTCTACTACCCAAGGGGCTACCATGACAAGGGCCCCGGGGGTCCACACACTGGGCAGGCTAACTGAAGGAGGGGGAGACCAGATGCCGTGTCAGCAGGAGCCCTGTGACCACCAGGCACCCATCTTACGGCCGAACTGCTGGTGAACCACAGTGACACGGATTTCTACACCACTGAAACAACAATTTCCCTAAAATGAAGCGCCCACCTAGTCAACAGGGACATGAACTGCAAATTCCATCTCCCCGCCACCCTCTTACTCAGGGGATACTACTGTCCAGCATCTTTCTGTACACAGCTTTTCATTTAAAATAAAATGCTAAACATTCTCAAGCACGTGCTACCTTATAGTAAAATAATCTCACCCCTTCGCTATCAGGTTAATCCCCGCAAAACAACAAAAATATAATCCTACATAATAATTATGTAGAAAGCATGTATGAAGGTTACTATGTTGCTGCTGCTGTTGTTGTTGAGGGGAAGGTACAGAGGGAGGGAGAGAATCTTAAGCAGGGTCTATGCCCAACGTGATCTCATAACTCTGAGATTATGACCAGAGCCAAAATTAGGAATTAGACCCTCAAGGGACTAAGTCACCAAGGTGCCCCCGTTGGCTACTGTGTTTTAAGAAAAGGGTTCCTTAGAAACAATACACAGACTGCCAGGTATTAGCATGAAAATCGGCAAGGGTAACGTGGCTGGCTCAGACAGTAGAGCATACGACTCTTGATCTCAGGGTTCTGAGTTCAAGCCCCACAGCAGGTATAGAAATTAATTCAAAAAAAAAAAAAATAGTGGGAAAACCAGCTTATGTAGAGGCCAACATGTTTCCCCATCGCAGAAACCT